AAACTCAAGCTGGATAAAACATGTTAAAACAATTCTTGGACATGCTGACTTATCTGAAGTAAATAAAATATATAAAAAGGGAAACATCGCTGAATTAACAAAATTGTTGGAAGAAAAATTAAAAAAATAAATATATACAAACATGGTATCAGCAACTTAGTCATGTCCCAAAAAACGGAAAATCAAGAAAACAAACGAAGAACGTATAATTTGTAAAAATGGAATATGAATTTGAAGGATATTTAACAGAAATTCAGGACTTCAATTTGAGAAGAATGGTTACCAAGTTGAATTGGAAATTGAATTGGGCAGGAGAAAATTTCCAAGAATTGAGTCAAACTACAGATTGTGTAAAAAATGCAACACAGGTACTGTAGTAGATGAAAAACATTTCATCCTTGACTGTTGCTTCTTCACTTAAGAAAGAAATACCCTCTTAGAAGACTGTAAATTAGAAATGTGCAGTACAACTAACCAAAATTTAATATTCACTTGCATCATAAATAGTAGTACTGCACTTGCAAAATACTTAAAAAATACAATTTATAAAACCTAATTGTAATACGTATTTTATATATACCCGTTGTTTTGTTTGTAATTTTGAAACTTTTGTTGTTTTTGTTTATTTGTGTTTGTTTTTTCTGATCTGTATCATTACCATACAGCACCCACTGATGGTGCAGTTGTGTAATAAAGTTATTCATATTAGAACAGAATAATAGAGCTTTTATAATAATAATTTGAAAATACACTTTCAAAAAACAAAGATTGCAGTGTTTGAAGATGTAGATTCTCAGGAGGCAAAAGTACTGTTGACTTCTCTCTCACTGGACACCAACTAACTATTTAAGTTGATTTGCATTACAAAGCAGAGCGTTCAACACAATATAGGGCATTTTTTTTTTTACTTTTCAAATAATACAGTAGTCACACGTTAAATATAAAAAGGCAGTTCATACATGTATTTGTCTCAGTGAATTATTTATTTTCGACAGACACCTGTAGGTATGGTACAATTATATTAATATGAATTTTACCATACCTTCCCCCTTTACTAAACCTAAGCTTCGCAAATATTTCTACGTCAAGTCACAGGATATTTAAATTAAACTTGAATTAAAACGCAATTCTATCATGAATTGCATAGTAATTGAGTTTATTTAAACTTGATTTAAAACATGTTTCAATCCAAACATAACGCAACTATATTAAAAGTTAATCCAATGTCTGTTATGTGTGTTATCCACAAGTGTGAAGACAGCGCTTGGTTCGATTCATGTATAATTCACGTTCGATTGATGTACTCTTCGCGTTCAATTGACGTACGTTTCATGTACAAATTGAAATATCCATAATTCACACAAAAGTTTATACAGCATATTTTGTGTAGGAAAAATGGGGATCAACCTATTTCTTTTGGAGAAAATCATGGTTATAAATAGTCTACAGTCTCGCTCACATCAGAAGTCACGTGGGCTCACACAAGTATAAAATAGCTCTACAAACAGACGAGAAACACATAAATATGTTTAAAAGAAAAAGAAACTTATGTAGTCTCAAATTATCACCACTCAATTTAAAAAAATAAATACAATTTTTGAGTCTGGAGAAACTTGGCACCACCACATCCAGCTATTTTTTTTTTCCATTATGCATGTGTACTTATTTATTCAGAAAAAAAATCGCACATATGAGTGAATCTTAAAGAACCATAGTCAACTTCTGACAATATATAAAGAAATAAACTGCGATATATTAAATAAAAAAACAAAAGAAAAAAAACAAAGACGTTGATGTTTTTTTATAATTATTGTCCTTTGACCTTCCGCGCATTCGTAGACGCATCAAGGAACTGTTATGCACACTATGAAAGTATTTATAACCTTGATTTCCACAGAAAATACTAAATTGATCTCTGTTTTTTCAGATCAAAAATTAGCTGAAATCGCCATATATCAACATTTGAGTGAATTATAGGTATTTCAATGGACGTTTCAATCGTACGGAATAGAATGCCAATCGTACGTGAATCAAATGCGTATCGAACCGAACGATGTGTTGTAATTGAGTTTAATTAAACTCCAATTAAAACTCAACCCGATGCAGGATCGAGTTCGAGTTCATATTGCAACTATATTAAAAGTTAATCCAATGTGTGGCGTTACAACTACGGTAAGACCTGTATGCGTACGTCTGTGTATGGGTCACATTTCATAGGACAATACATAGACCTGGTAGGTTTTGGGTTAATATTCATGCATATTAATTACCTAATTTGAATAATTAGTTAATAATTAGCTTTTGCTCATATTTCAGGTATTAATCATTACATTCCAATGAAACTTGTTACACTGATGCTCTAGGACTATGCACAGAGGTGATTAGTTTTGGATTAAAATCTGTGCATATTAATTACCTAATTATCCAATTAAAATTTTTCAATGACGGTCGGTGACATTGTGCAGACTCAATTAGTTTTACATTAAAATCAGTGCATAATAATTACATGATTTACATAATAATTACATGATTTACATAATAATTACTCGGTTTTCATCAATATTTCAAGTACTTATTATTTCAATAAATCTTGATATTTACGAGGGGCGTTCAATAAGTAATGCCCCTGACCCACTTCCAGTTGTCTGATCTAGATGAAATTTTGCATGTGTAACGATTTACATTTCTATGGGTCATGTTGCAAAAAACAGCGCTGAACTAATTGTGGTTTCTGATTTACAGATGTTTGAACTGAGTTATGTGTGAAATGGAGCCAGTTGAGTGTCGCGCAGTGATCCAGTTTTTGACTCCCATGTGCGAAGCACAAAAAGGGAGTCTTTGCAGTTAGTGTGTCTGTCTGTGTGTCTGTCTGTCTGTCTGTCTGTGTGTGTGTGTGTGTGTGTGTGTGTGTGTGTGTGTGTCCCAACGATATCTCAAGAACCAATGTTCGGATTTCAATGAAACTTAGTTTTGATTAGTTTTTGGTTGACATCCATGAATATTAATGAGCTCATCTGCATAATAATATGTGAATTTTATTTAACTTGGTAAGAATGTTACTAATGATTGGCTGCTGTTGTATTTTACATTT